CCCCCCGGGGCTGTGGGAGGGCATTTGAGGGGTGCAACAGAGAGGAAGGCTGAGTCGCAATTCCCCAAAATGGGCCAACTGTGACATTTTGTGCCAAAAATTATCCCAATACTAATATAATTTATTATTATTTTGTTGGCATTTGGATTCGGTTTTCTTGTCAATCAAGACAAAATCAGGAATCATGATTGAGAAGCATGAACAAAGGAGTTACTGGATTTTATCTTCACAACTGGGATTCATTTTACTGTTTACAATTTTTTCCTAATTGCTTGATTTATATTTGAATTTTATGCACTGAGTTAAAAGCTACATTTTGGGGTTCAGTTTGTGCACCCACAGAACTGTATGTGGTTCCATTTGATCATGAACATTTTTAGGGTGAGGGCCATAGAAAAGTTTGGGAACCCCTGAATTAGACTCTTCTCGCTCAGAACACATGACCGGAAAGCCAGGATGGGGAGGTGCCGCCCTCCCGGCGCAACGGGGGGCCGAGAAGAACGCCGACCGTTCTTTTGATATTGGGTGGAACAGAGGTGAAATGAATTATTACACGCTTCCAAAAGGCAAGGTTGGAATTTCACCCCCACTGAAGCTTCTGGGGAGTTCCTGAAGGCCTGCCTTCACGGTGGGGGCCTCCCCACGGCACCCGTTCATGGACCCCCCCCCCAGGAGGTTTGCTTGGCACCTCTGCTGGTCGCTCTCCAGTGCCGGGCAAAGATCTTTCTGTTCTCCAAGGAAAGCACTTTAGGAACACAGAAACAGAGTGAGCCCGAGGGGCCTCCTGGGCCATCTAGTCTGACCCCGGCTCGGGCCATCTCGGCTCATGACATGGCCTCCCACACATGTCCACTTTAGAGGCCTCGTTCTTACTCTTTGCACCCCGATACACTTTATTTATTTATTTATTTGTTTGTTTGTTTGTTTGTTTGTTTATTTATTTATTTAAAACATTTCTATGCCGCCCCATTCGCCAAAGTCTCGGGGCGGCTCACAACATAAAATTAAAATGTAATCCATCCAAATATACAACAAATTAACAATATAAAAGAAGTCGCCCTGGCCAGATAAAATAAGCAAATAATATTAACAATTAAAATGACGCTTAAATAAAAAGGTCTTTGCCTGGCGCCGAAAAGCAAATAACGACGGTGCCAGGCGGACCTCTCTGGGGAGCGCATTCCATAGATTGGGCGCCACCACAAAGAAAGCCCTCCTCTGGGTACCTACCCTCCTAATTTCTTTCACGGAGGGTTCCCGGAGAGGGGCCTCTCCTGCAGATCTCAAGGGGCGGGCGGGTGGGCGTATATGGACGTAAGCGCTCCTTTATTCTTGTAAGGATGTGTATATTCCACAATACGATGTTTGTACTGAAGTTTACTTCTTCAACTGTGTTCTGGGCAGGGGATTTTAATTGTTTCACTGGCTGCAATACGCCCAGAACACGTTAGTCATCGGGTGGATGAAGCGTGTACTTGCATTCATGAATCTATCCGATATTGTGCACAGGAGGCCAGCGAGCGTGCCCAGGCGGCACCCGCTCGGTCCCAGCCCTGCCCTGCAGCCTGCTCCTTGCGGTGCCTGCGGCATGCGGCCTTTCAAGCGTGTAGGTTTCGAAGCGATTTCATGGATATTGCGGTGGAATCGATTTCTGGCTGGAAAAGCAGGATCCGTCGTAGCAACAACACTTGGAAATGACGACGCCGGCTCTCCTATTCGGCAGCCGTCAGGAGGATGCCCCCCCCCCCCCCCCCCAGAAAGCTGACCGGCAGCTCCCTGCAGCGACCTGCCATGCGCCGTGGCCTGTGGCCTGGAGACCAAGGTGTGAATTGCCCACGCACACGCACGTCTGTGCACAACCAGGGCTTTTTTTGTCACAGAACGCACCAGAACGGCTTTCCGGCACCTTTTTTCGATGGATTTTTCCAATGGAGAGATTTTGAATCGCCTGCGGGCTGCTTGTGGGTCGGCGCTGGTTGTGAGAGCGCCGCTCGGCTGGGGGTCGGTCGTGTGGTCTTGTGCCGAGGGCCTACTCTCGGCAGCGACCATTGTGTAAAAGTGTGACCCCAAGACGTGAGTTCCGGCACTTTTTTTTTTTAACAAAAAAAGCACTGTGCACAACTATTTTCCTTTCCTGGTGGGGGGGGGGATTGTGTCGGCACCCCACCTTAACATACCCGAAATGACCTTTTTCTTCTCTCAAGGCAGACGTGCGGGTGCGAATGTTCAAGCAGTTGCTTTCTGCATCCTGACTGAGAATAAATTTAGAGCAGGTTTATCCTATGTATTCCCAATTCTAGCTAAGATTATATAATTTAGGATGCAGCCTGATGCCAAGTTCGGGCAGAGAGCAAGGCCTGCGATTCCCAGCGTCTCGCCGCCCGTGTTGCCAAGCTGCAGCCGAATAAATCTGGAGCGTGCCAGATGGAGGGATACGGACTCGTGCTTCCATAGAAGCTATAGAGGCAATCCTAGTCGAAACAGGAAAAACAGCCTCTTGCTCCCAGCGTGCCTGGCATGCTGGGAATTGTAGGCCTGCTTTTCTGCCTGAACTTGCATGCGGCTGCCCCTGAATTTACATCGTTCTTGCATGAAGCAGAAATGCAGGTGGCTGAACCAGGCTGCAAAATGCAACAGCTCGCAAATTCACCGGCCGTTCCCGAGAGGGGATTTCCAGGAACATCTTCGCATCTTCCGATTCATTCCCAGCTGACTGAAATCTTGTCTTAAATGGAAAACTTCCGGGGTTTATTAATTTATTGCCCCATCCAAAAGGAGGAAGAGGAGGAGGGAGTTGATGCTGTGGTTGCCTAGCAACAACCCATCCTGCCCACGGGCCTAGGGCAGCGAAAGGCAGGAGAGGCTGTTGCCTAGCAACAAGCCCACTTTGAGTGGAAGCGGATCCCAGTTTAAAAGTGTCTCCTTCCCACAGAACGGGTGCAAGAGTGCCGGACTGGGGGGCACCTCGCCACCACGCCGTGCCCCCCTCCAGCCCGCGGGCATCGCACAACTCCGACGCGAGGCCATGGCAGCACACGAGGCGAGCGCCAGGGCCCTGGCGACGGCAGAGGGGGGCCGGGCATGCGGTCCCCGCCATGCCGGAGGACAGCAAGCGGCCCCAGGCGGGGTCCCACGTTGGGAGGGAGGCCCCCACCCCGCCCCACGGCGGCCTCCACCCAGACGGCACCAGCAGTGCCGGTCTGTGACCAAGATCGACCTTCCACGAAATCCACCTGTCACCAGATGCTGCAGCGTGTCCAGAAGCAGGAAGGGGCGCCAGCAGCTCACGGGTCCTCTGCCCCCCCCCCCGCAACAGCCCCGCCACCTGCCCCACCCCAATAAAATCAGCAGGAAAGAAAGCGGAACCAGTGCAAACGGCGCCCGCAGGCACGTCCCGCACCTTCCAGCTGCCACACACACATTGCGGGGCCCACGGATCCGCCCCCCCCCCCCCCCCCCCCCCCCGCGGGAAGAGGGCCTCACGCTTGACTAGCATCTAAACACCGTGCACTAGAGGCCTGGCTCCTCCAGCAAACCGGACGGTGAAGGGGAAGACGCAGACAGCGCAGGCTGAAGCCAGCTGGGGAGGGCCTCTCCACGCTTGCTCCCGCTGGATGGGGAGGAGCCCACCCAGGCCTCCCCCAAGGGTGGGATTCTGCACTAGCCGCAGAGGCACCGGGGCGGAGGCCACACCACGTGCGGCCACCGGTCACAAACCGGCTTATTGCCCACCCCGTCCAGCCCGGGCCACACGCCGCACCCTCAGTCCAAGACCGTCCCCCACTGCCAGCTTGCCCGGCTGGGCCCAGGCCCGACCCCTGCGGCTGCGGTCCCTGCCGCCCCACCCGTAACAGACTGACCGCCTCGCTCGGAGGCACTTCATCTCCTTTCCAGCTCTGGCTCTGCACCTGGGCCAGGCGCCTGCCCCCCGAGCTCCCCGGGATGTTCCGGGCTCCAACTCCCATTAACCTCGGCCTGCGTTGGCAACGGACCCTATTCTGCGAGGGGCTGCCCAAAGGCGCCACGCAGGGCTGGCTTTGCAGGCACTCTGCAAATATACTTCTTACAAAAGCCCCCACTAAATTTTGCTAACCATCTCCCTAAAATGTGCCGCTTTTCCGGGGGCAGAAGCGGGCGAGTCTGTGCCGAGCCGGCCTGATGACCTCCAGAGGTGCAGAACTACAACACCCATCATGCCCAGGCCACCCCAAGACCAGGCAATGGCACCCTCTGGGAACGCACCTCACACCCACAGGAGGAGGGGAGCCAAAGCAAACGGATCGCTACTTGAATGAAATACCCTCCGTCGGATTTAAGGTACGGTTCAGGTCAGGTCAACTGCGCCGCAGGAATGGCTTGCCACGCTGCGGAACGCGTGGCCGCAGCCGAGGCCGCCCGAGCAGATGGAAGGAAGCCCATCCTCTGGGGGGCTCCAAGGAAGACCCCGTGCTTTCAAGTCGCATTTATTCAACATATTTGCCAGCCGGAACTGCAGACGACTGCGATTCGATTCCCAGCTGAAGTTCGTAAGAACCACAGAAGCTCACGGATTGTTATGCAGAAGTGCGATCCTGATCCTGCTCCAGCTCAGAGGGGAAAAGCACTACAGCTCCAAGCAGCCCCGGCCGGCACAGCCGGAGTCCTTTCTTCTGTTTATGCTGCCCACAGGGTGTTCTGCAGCCGCTCTCCGTGGGGCACCAGCAGCCGCGGCGAGAAGAGCTGCGAAGTCCGTTCTCAGCTTGAAAGGAGCAGGGCGCTTCCGCCGGGGCCTTCCCACCCTGGGCCGCAGGGGTGCAGCTACACGCAGGCAGGCCTTAAAAAGCAGCCCCCCAGGACCTTACTTCTCACGGGGGGAAGCTGGCAGAAAAGGCCCCCTCTGCGGTCCGCCAGACGGGCTGGGGTCCGGCTGCCCACTCTGCCCCAGAGATGCACGCAAGAGGGGAGCTCCCTCCAGCCACGCTGGTGCCGCCCCGCAGGACGCCCCCTCGCCCCCAAGCTGAGGGCGAGCCCCGCACCTCAGGCCACGTCGGCCGGCCGGTCACGCCTCCATTTTCACCACCAGCGCCGAGCCCTGCGGGGGGCCCTTGCGGTGCACCCGCTGGTGCTTGGTCAGGTGGTGCTTCTGCACGAAGGACTTCCCGCAGGCCGGGCAGGGGTAGGGCTTCTCGCCCGTGTGGTGGCGCTGGTGCCGCAGCAGGTTGGGCTTCTGGCTGAAGCGCTTCCCGCACTCGCCGCACTGGTAGGGCCGCTCGCCCGTGTGGATGCGCCGGTGGATGGTGAGCGCCGACCAGGAGACGAAGCCCTTCCCGCACTCGCTGCAGATGTACTGCTTCTGCTCGGGGGCCGGGGGCTTGGGCAGCGTGGGCTTCCAGAAGACCCCCTTCTTCGTCTGGGACAGGGCCAGCGGCCGGGTGCCCGGTGCCACGATCAGGACCGGCTGCCCGTCCATGTCGCTCTGTGGGCCGAGATCGGGGTGCGGGAAGGGGTCCGGCCCGCCGGGGCGCCAGGGGTCTGCCTCCGCCGCGAGGCCTGGCGGCGGGCCGAGGCAGGGGCGGCCCCTCTCCCCCGCCGGGAGCTCGGCCCCTGTGTGGCCGGCGCGCTGGTGCAGCGTGAGCGCCCCCTTGGAGGGGAAGGTCCGCCCGCAGGCGTGGCACCGGAAGCCCCTCTCGGCCAGGTGGGTGCGCCGGTGCTTGAGCAGGTGCTGCTTCTGCGTAAAGCCCCTGCCGCAGTCGGGGCAGGCGTGGGGCCGCTCGCCGCGGTGGTAGCGCAGGTGGCGTAGCAGGTTGGGCTTCTGGGTGAAGCCCCTGCCGCAGTCGGGGCAGCCGAAGGGCCGCTCGCCCGTGTGGATGCGCTGGTGGATGCTGAGCGAGGACCACCAGGTGAAGCCCTTCCCGCACTCGCTGCAGATGAACTTCTTCACGCCCCGCCGGCGCCCCCGGGGCCGCGCCGCCCGGCCCTGCCCGGCCCGGCCCTCCTCCCGCTGGCGCGCCACCGGCTCCCCGCAGGCCTGCCTGAGCTCGCGGAGGACGCGCTGCCGGGGCCGGGCGTGCAGCCGGCGGTGCAGCCGCAGCACGGCCTTGCTGCCGAAGGCGCGCTGGCAGTCGGGGCAGGCGTGCGGGCCGGGCCGGGGCCGGGCGTGGCTGCGCAGGTGCTTGCGCAGGTGCTGCTTCTGCCGGAAGCCCCGCTCGCAGCGGGGGCAGCGGAAGGGGCGCTCGCCCGTGTGGTGGCGCAGGTGGCACAGCAGGTTAGGCTTCTGGCTGAAGCGCCTCCCGCACGCCCGGCACGGGAAGGGCTTCTCCCCGGTGTGGGTCCGCGCGTGGATGTTCAGCGAGGACCTCCAGGCAAAGCGCTTGCCGCACTCCTGGCACGCGAAGGCTCCCTCCGCGGCACAGGCACGCCGCCGGCTCGCCCGGCCCGCCGCCTCCCCGTCCCCCCCGGGGAAGGCCACCGCGCCACCCGGCGCGCCATCGCGCACAGCGACCTCCTCTCGCTCGCCGTGACCGCAGAAGCCCCCTGGGCCCAGGACCGCGTCCTCCGGCGGGGGCCCTGCCGGCGCCTGCTGGCTGCCCGCCGCTTTGTGCCGCCGGGGAAAGCGCCTCGTCCTTTCTGCTCGCGGGAAAGGCTTGACGGCGGCTCCGCCAGGGTCCCTCAGCTCTTCCGCGGGAGCGCTCTCCTCCTCGACCCTGGCCTTGGCTGGCGCATCTGCAGGATCAAAGGGGTCACAGTCAGCCCCGGTGCTCGCTCTGCTCTGCTCGGGCTTTTCTTTGCTTTAGGCATGACCTTTTCACAAAATCCACCGCCCAAGCTGCAGCGATGGCCACCAGGTGGTTTCAAGGCGAACCCCTGCAGCTCGCAGCAGCACCTTCTGTGGCTCTTAACCATCACGGAGGGACACGGTGCCCTCCTCGGCCTGCCAGCCACAGGGAGGCCGGCTGAGAAAATGGCGGAGGGGAGGGCCGCGGCTCCCGGGCACCGGCTCTGCTTTGCTCCTGGAGGTCGTGGGTTCTGGCCAGAGCAGCATCTTCCCGGAGCGCCGGAAAACCCCCCGTGGGAGCCCTCCAGCTGCACTGGCAGTGCTGGGCGGGGGCCAGGGGCCTGGGGCCAGGCCAGCCTGGGGACCTTCAAGCCCAGCATTCCCATCTCGAGGGAGGGAGGGAGGGGGCCCAGCCCTGGATTTCCCAGAGGCACCTGGATGGCCACCGGGGGAGCAGCATGCCCCCGCCCCAGGGCTCCTCGAGGGATGGTGCTCCCTTTTGCATTCAGACCCCCGCGAGTCGCATTCCCCACCCAGTGGCTGCGCTGTGGCTGCTGCAGCGAGAAGCTCCGAGCCCGGCTCGGCCGGCAAGGGGCTCTGGGCTCAAGTCCGGCCGGCCCACTGCCTCCAGAGCCCTGAACTGGGGAGGGGCCGGCGCATGCTGGCAGGCGCATGAGCCGCGGCCAGCAGCCCGGGGGTCACCGAGTGGAGGAGGCCACGACGGAACCGAAAGCTCCCGGGCGCGTCTGCCTCCCTCCGGCGCTTGAGGGGAGTCTACGAACCGGAGCAGGGGTCCGGGGAGCCGGCACTGTCCCCTGGCTCTCCCATCCTCGGGGGGCCCACCTCTTCCCTGGGCTCCATCCCGCGCGGTTCCTGATGCCCTGGAAAATACAGAAAGAGCCGTTGAGAGGCGTGGGGAGGGAGAGAAGGCGGCAGTAGGTCGCCCCCCCACCCTCTCCAAGGATGGCCCGGCGCTGAGCCCTGAAGTGCAGGGACACAGAAACGCCTCGAGTGTGGCCAGGCCAGAGCGCTGATCCACCAGGAAGCCCCGTTTCCCGCCCCATCGGGGTCGCTCCCTTTGCAGTGCGAATGGGCCTGAAATGCCGGCCCCAGCAGCCACCCCAAAAGACACCTGTGCTGGGGACACCTGAACCCAGGGGGCCAGGACTGCGGGGGAGGGCGCAGAGGGGCAGGGTCCCTGCGGAGCAGCAACCGTGCCCGGCACGGCCGGCTGCACTGGGGCCCCCCGGCCAGGCAGTGGGCGCAGGCCGTCCTTGCGCTCGCCACGATGGGCAAAGCTTGCCGCCGCGGTGGCCAGGCCGGGAGAGCCACCAGCCTTCCTCCGGGGACCCCAGAAAAAAGCCACCCGTGGATCGTATTCAAACCTATCTGTTAGGCAGAAGGGGCAGTGGAGAAGCCGGGACCGGAGCGCCGGTCCAAATTCAGCCATGCTTCGGAGCAGGCCAGGAACGCCCGTGGAACGACTGGAACCCTGTTGCATCCAGTGGGTCTCCCCTGAAGGAGGGCTGACTCTGGTTCCAGCCAGCTGTGTGAGAAGGCCGGGTGAGGGGGAGGCGCCATGCAGGCCGGAGAGCCCCCCCCCGGGGGGGGGCAGAGCAAAGACAGGCGATGCAAAGCTGGTGAGGACTGAGCACAGCCGAGTAGCCAGCTCAGCAGTGCGGTTCCGGGGGGGGGGGGCGGCCAGGAAAGGGGGGGAGCCGTGGGGGGGGGGGCTTTTCCAGGCCCAGGCACTCATCCTCATCCCCAAGGAGCACCCCGAAATTCAGGCCCCTGTGCCGATCCCTGAAGTGTGCCCGGCAGAAGGGAAAGCCTCACCCGTTGGGCTCCTGCCTGTCTGCACTCGGCCCATCAGAAAACCCCAGCCTTCCGGCAGCCTTCCCTTTCTGCTCCGCTCCCCCACATATGCTCCACGGCAGCTCTCCCGGGGAGCCGGGCAGAAGCCTCACGGGGCAGGGGCGCCCGGAGGCTGCAGGCCAAGGATGCCTCTCACCGTTGCCACCGTCACTGCCAGCTCACGGCCACGTGTCTCAGCCCCGCGGAAAGACCACCTCCTGGGGCTTCTGCCCCCACACCGCTGCTAAAAAGGCACCCGAAGCCGGCCAGGCAGCGAGCCGCCCCTGCAGAGGTGCCAGGTGCACGGCAGGTGAACGCCGCAACCTCCGAGGCAGCAGGGACCCGGCGGGGGGGGCTCTCCTCACAGGGTGCGTGAGCAGGGCGGACGAGCGGCAGGGTCTCCCCAGGGTGGGAGGCCCAGCTCGCTGCCTTGGTATCTGCGGGGTCTCTGCTGACACCCAGCACGGCTGCCCGTGGCACCCGGCTGCCCTTCCTGGCACCTGGGTATGTGCGCGCGTCCAGCATCCACGGGCACCCGGACGGACACGACTTCGGCCCTTCCTTGCTCCCCGCAAGTGGCGCCCAGGCAGCAAACAAGAAAATACGGATTGAAACAAAACCGACACTAAAGCACCGTATTAAAATTAATGTTAAAAATGCAACAAGAAAATAAAACAGTGAAAACTGGAATTCTACGAGTTTATTGATTTATTTAGCGTCCCATTTTTCCTCCAAATAAGAGCACTCAAGGCAGCTAACAACAAAAAAAGGTTAAAACTCAAAACGACATTAAAACGCCATGTAAGAACAAACACATTTAAAGCAAAATGAGGAAAATAAAATTAGGAAGAAGCAAGCGAAGCTATTGGGGTCCATTCCAGAGCTTCCCGCCCAGCCTTAAGCTGCTCTCCCCCCTCCCCAGACAAGCAGGAACGCTCTCTGCCTAACGGAGACACCCCTTCTCTCCCCAAGGGGCCATGCCCCGCGGGCCTCCCCCTCCCGGCATGCCCAAGGCCGCGCTCTTCGACGCCCGCAGCCGCCCCACATCAGGTGCCGGCAGGGCAGGAATGGCCGCCTCTGAAGAGAGGGGCAAGCCCGGCCCGCCACTCCGAGCCGCAGCAGAGCCACGCAAAGGGCGGGAGGCGCCCCCGACCTCGAACGGCAGCCGGCTGCATCGCCCACTCGTCTCCCGGGGGTCGGCCGCACCCTCCTCCGCAACCGACCCCAGATGACCCCCCTGCCCACGACACCTCCCGGTTCGCTGCGCCACGGCAGGTGGTGGCCCCCCTTCAGCCATGCGTGGGCGGGGCAGGAGCCTGTCCCTTGCCGCCCAGCCCGTGGAGCCAGGGGTCAGACTAGATGGCCCGGGAGTCCCTTTTCTGGCTTGCGCTGTTTCTACATCAGCCCTGTTGAGCTCGAGGCACGGAGCTCCCATCAAGAGCGCCCCCCACCCCACCCGTCATTCTGAGATGGCCTCCACCTGTTGAACCCCTGCCTTCTGCCACCCTGGGGCAGCCGGCTTTCGCTTTCAAGAATTCTGGCGCCGTGGGCGGGATGCCCCCAGGCAGGGCAGCGCTTCCAGCCCCAGCAGTGCCGGTTCCTTCCCTTGCATCCCTAAGCCGGCATCCCAGGACATCCCCAAAGCATGTTTCCTTCCCGGATGAACAACGCCCTCTCTCCCCTCGGGGATGCTTCAGGCACCCATGACATCTGGCATCTGGCTTGCAACAGCCCCAGCGGGGGCAGAGGCAGCAGGCAGCCACCCAACAGGCGAGGCGCGGCCCGGGCTGGAGGACCAGCGTTGTTCATCCGGGAAGGAAACATGCTTTGGGG